ACTAGTACAGGCCTCATGTATACTTTGGTTTAGTAATTGCAAGTGATATGCTTTACAGATATGTAGGGCTGCAACTAATGATTATTTTATTAATCGATTAATCAGATACATTTTTTTAATAAAGACCATCCTTCAGTTAAAATAAAATACACAAATGCAGTGTTACAAACATAAAGTTTACTTCAGAATAAAACTGCATGCACAATATTTTGCAGTCGCACTGCACTAGAACACATAGCATTGCGGTACCGTGCGCTCCAGTACGTCAGTCACAGTGTGGGTGGGAGGTGCGTTTAGGTTGCCATTGAAATAAATGGCACTGCAATGCACCTCCCGCAGCAGAATTTGTCAGTCCGAAACCGAAAATGACTTTTGCAAGCTTTTATAATTTTTTTTATTTTTTATTATTAACTGTTGTAAGCACATGGCGCTTGAATAGCTTCATCCAGGGAATGGCAGCAGTCGCCAGCTGAATGTCAATACAACAGGTAGTGGGCTGGTGCAATAGCTAGCCTGCTATTGTCCATTTCAAATTGTAATAGCAGGCTGGCTATTGCCCTTGCCCACTGCTTGCTGTGCCCTCCTCCCTGCATGGAGGAGAGAGCTAGGGGATGCAACCAACTAATCAATAATGAGAATAGTTGACAACTATTCTCATCAATTTAATCGATTGGCTGTCTGCAGACATGGCTACAACACAGAAGTCACCTCATGCTTTCGGCAATTATTGCACTGGTGATTTTGTTTATTCTGGTTTTATAGTAGACACAGAATTTCTCATCTTAAGCTGGCCATACACTAGTAGATTTCCAACAAATGTTCCTACAAAAGATCTTTCTTTACCACCTCAAATAGCCATCAGACACTTTACGCATATCAATCGAGATTTCATTTGATTCTAACATTCGATTTTTCAATTAATGAAGTTCCCCTAAAGAAAACCACATTCACTGTTAGAATTTTGTTCCTTTGAGAAAACTTTTCCATCCGCTCCTTTAAGTGCTTTTTGTCTGCGGTGGAAATCAATTGTCAATTTGACTCCGTCAACTAATAGATTTCCAAAAGAACTTTAGCACAAAAGAACTTTCTTTCAACTTTCTAAGCAGTGTATGGCCAGCTTTAGTATTTATGTTACTGGGAAATGCGTGGCAGGTGTTTGTCCTTTGCCTACACACTTTGTGCTAATGGGGGTCCCTCTTTCCTATCTCAGAACATTAGAAGGTTTGTGAATACAAAACTGAAATGTGCAAATTTTACTTCATGATGGTTTGTTCACGAATGTTTACACGTTTAGGATTTTTTATTGATGTTGTAGCAATGCCAGTTCTGTGGGTCACTATATACCTTACCTCACTGACCTCCAAGCCTTATACACACTGCTGTGACTTGGCCTTATCTGTTTACATCACAGATATGTACCTTTTACTTATACAATTACAGGCAATTTTATGCATTGTAAATATATTATCTAATGTCTAATTTTATTATTTTCAGATGTGAAGACTTGCTGTATATTAAGCTTACATTTAGAGCAGCTTCTGTATAAATATCCCTTTTATGCATCTTCTATTTATGGTACCTAGCCTGTTGGTCTTGCACCTTCTAGTTTTGGTGTGATTTTTCCCACCCTTCTATACTTTCTTGCTTATCCTCTCTATGTATGCCATGATTTGGGAAATCGGAATTAGTTACCTGGTAACTCACTTTCCAGGAATCTTCCATGATGGCACTTAGTTCCCTCGCTATGTAATTTAAAGGACGAACTATGAGACGAGTGATTTCCACTCACCTCATAGTTCTAGCCGACCTGTGACAATGAGACTGTCACAGGTTGGCTCAGTAGATCGAGAAGAACACATACCGGGTTCGCTCACCTCTCGATCCTGTCACGGCTCTCTGCCGTGACAGGCAGAGCCAGCTGTCACTCACGCAGCTGGGCGGATCTCGACGTCGAGCTGCGGCGTCTCAGTATACCACGAGCTGTAGCTCGTGGTATACTGAGCTTAAGGTAACGGGAGGACGCTAGTTTGTGTCCTCCCGTTACCCTAAGGAGAACTATGGGGAAAAACACTGACCCCATAGTTCTCCTTTTAATCTTCTGTTTATAGTGGAGGTATGTTTTGCCTTTTTCTGATTACTTTTTTATATAGACTGAGGCAGCAGCGCAGGGGGCTGCAATTTAAAGTGTTCTAGGGGTTGTGTTTACTATCTGGTGGACGGGGTCATCACTCATGTATATTGCCCTGGACAATTAATGGAGTTACCAGGTAAAAGTGAAATCTGTTATGGGAGAAATAATGTAATTGCCAACTTCCTTCTGAAAATACTAGCTGCCTGCCTGTTATGCCAAATCACTAGTTTTGATACCTTGAGTTATTATCGATATCTGAATACTTGTTCCTGGTGAGTGACTCCAGGTATTGAATCAAAAGGTTCAGCATGACAGCCAGGAAACTCACATTCCCTTAGTAGCACTTATAGGTCCTGTCTCTCTCTCTTCAACTGTGGGTGTCAACACACCTCTGTCATCTTCCCTCGTAGCTCATGCAAAAGTAAATGAAGCTGCACATTAGGGCTGCAACAACTAATCGATTTAAATTGATTTATAATCGATAATGAGAATCGTTGGCAAAGATTTTCATCACCGATTAGTTGCTTTTCGATTAGTTGCCGCTGCTCTGCTCTTCAGTTCTCCTCCATGCTGGTGCTGGCTGCAGCGGTCTGTGTCCCTTTCAATCCCTGCTTCTCTCCCCGACCTGTATCGGCGGGGGCACAGACCACTGCAGCCAGCACCAGCGGAGAGGAGAGACGGCTGTGACTGGGTTCCCCCTCTGCCCTCCCCTACCTCTGCTTCCACGCCCCGTTCGGCCTCTGCCCCGTGCCTCCTCTGCCCCGCCCCCCATGCCTCCACTGCCGCCTTGTTCCTTCTCTGCATCTAGAGGCTGGGAGCCATAGCCAGCCTGCTATTGGATATTCTAAAATGCAACAGACAATAGCAGGCTGGCTATTGCACCCACCCACTGCCTGCTGCCAATCAGCAGAGAAAGACCTGATGGAGAACTTTCTCCTTCAGGTCCCTCCTCTGCTGTTTGACAGCAGGTAGTGGGCGGGGGCAATAGCCAGCCTGCTATTCGATATTGCAATTTGAAAACTCCAATAGCAGGCTGGCTATTGCTCCCAGCAATAAAGTAAAACTACTAAAAAATAAATAAATAAAAATTAAAAATGCAAACGAATAAAAAAATAAGTTTAATAAGTTAAATAAACTAAAATTAAAAACAGAAAAAAAATGTTTTGGGTGTGTTATTTTAAATAAAAGGTTAGTTATTTTATTACTTTGGCTTACATTTATACAATTCACATTATGTTTAATCTACGAAACTAATTAAAATGTCTAATATAATACATATAATTATTTAAAAAAATATATATGTAAAAGGTGGGAAAAGTCATTTTCAGCCTGACAAATTTTGCTGTAGGAGGTGCTTTGTGGTGCCATTCATTTCAATTCATCCCAAATGCACCTCCCGTCCGCAGTGTGATTGCCTGCAGTGGAACGCGCTGTTCTGCACTGCCCTGTGTTCCAGTGCAGTGCGATTTAAAAAAAATTGCATTCCGTTTTATTCTGAAGTAAACTTTATGTCTGTAACGCTGCATTTGTGTATTTTATGTTGGTATTAAATGTTTTTTTTTTATCTGGATAATTGACGCTAATAATCGATAATAAAAATAATCGTTAGCTGCAGCCCTACTGCACATTGCTTTTTACTAGAACTTGAATAGCTTTATTGATCCATCAGTGACAGAGACACTACTCTCCATGTCCCTACTGTAACACATTTCGCCTCATACTGGGTATTAATGGCAGAGGAGTCTCTGTCACTGGTGGACTCATAAAGCTATTCAAGCACAAGGGGAAAGGGGTATGAGGCTTTACATTGTTCATTTATGACAGCAAGGAAACTAGAACTTTTAAGTTAAAGTGACATTAAACCCTCAGATTTTTTAACATAAACCAATACTGTAATGCGTGCCTTACTGTAATCCATGGTAGTTTCCCTTCTCTTTGCTGCTCTTCCTTTTAAATACGTATCTCTTCTCATGCTGGGGGAGAACTTCCCTTTGCAGCTAAGTGCCTCTTCCTGTAGTGCTGGCTCAGGTTGCAAACCTACACACAGACACCATGTATCCATTTCAGAGACAAGGCAGTCTGCTGCAAAACAGTAGTTCTGCCCAGCATGAGAAGAGATGCGTATTTAAAAGGAAGAGCATCAAAGAGAAGGGAAACAACCATGGATTACAGTAAGGCACACATTACAGTATTGGTTTATGTTAAAAAATCTGAGGGTTTAATGTCACTTTAAGACGTCAGCAAGTGCAACTTCCATGTTTCTTTCATGGCAGGCTTACATAAATACTGTAGAGGATTAAAAAATAAAGCTTTAGGGCTCATTCAGACGGGTGTGCATGTGCGTACGGAATGCACGCCCGTGAAAAGACCTCATCCCAGGAGGGACAGGTGCTGCGTGTAATTGCGCACAGCAGCCTGTTGTTTCATATGAGTGGACACGACTGCATGCAGTTACCCGCGATCACACCAGAACCTGCACATCCGTGTGGTTCCGTGTCCCTGCATTTGGATGCACACTGTCTGTGCCCTGAGCCCTTAAAGAGAATATGAACTGATCAGTTATCTGCTGGAAAAAAAACTGCTCCAAGTGATCAAAAAGCCAAAAAGAAACATGATTATGCAAGAACCAGCTCAGTTCAGATGTTGCCCTTGTAGAACCATTGCTGTTGTCTTGTGGTTAATTTCACCATTGTTGAATTTTGGTAAAACTACTACTGACTGAACTGGCCACAACCAACTACAAGGAGTGATGATTTGTTTTATCAACCTGTTTATAAATAAAAAGCTTTATATTTTACTAGGTTTATAAATTATTTTAATATGACAGACTTGCATATTTCCTGCTTAATTTATGTGCTTTTTATTCTAGTATCCTATAATATCTGAATTTGGGGATGAGAACTTTTCACCATATGACGATGCCAAGGAGGATTCTCTGCTTAGAACGGAGGCCTCACAACATGAGGTGAGTGGGGAAAGAATTTTTGCTTGGCCCAGCTGCCACTCCTCCACCTGTGTGTGTGTGTGTGTGTGTGTGTGTGTATACACATCTTTCTGCTGGCACTGCAAACCTGGTGACTCATGTGTGTATGTATAATCACATTCCTCCCCCTCACTCCTTCCTAGAGTAACTACTTATAGTAATAATGACATATTGCATGCATTGGCACAGTACACCCACCTCTTACAGTTGCTTCTATGGGTGATTCTCAAGAGGAAAATAGAACAACATGACAAGTTATATAATAATGGCACTCTGTAGGGATCATTTACAAATGTGAAAATGTTCATGGTAAAGCACTGAAATAATTTGTAACAGATATCAAGTACATGCGATGTCTTTTCTAAAGGAAGTATGGATTTATTAGGGTAGGGTATAAGTAGATATATATGCTGTTCTTGGCTCCTAAAGCAATCTTCAAGAGCACACCTTCCTTGTTTAAGGAAGCTTGTTTTCCGTAAGTGTACAAAAGTAATCAGCAAAGAAACCAATATTTTGGAACCATGTAGTCATTAGATATTTTTTTCTGCTGTGTTCGTGAGATTGCCATATGCATGTGAGATGGTGTTATCAACCCCATTATAACAGCACCATTTTAATGCATACATTAGGACTGTAAGGCATTTAGTGTATTTCCTTCTCTTAGGTACAAGATACACTTGTCTTATCTGCATATGTAACTGAAAACTGTAAGGCTTACATTATTCTGTAGATCAAGAGTTTCTGGCAGTGGTTCACATCTAAAGCCTTCCCAGGCACATGAATACAGTAAAAGTTGTACACCAAAAGTAAAGTGAAAAAAAAGGCACACATGTGGAACAGCTTGCCACAGCAAGCAATTAGGGTGCCCTAATGGACTGGCAAAGAATAGGTGGAGGAAAACAGGGTGGTGCTAGGTGGGAGAGAAGATGGGCAATGCAGGGGAATGCTGGAGGGGTAGGAGAGTCATAATAAAGGGAACACTGAGGCTGAGTAGAGGCACAGTACATTGGAGATGCTGGAAGGGTAGGTGGATGCTGATGGGAGAGCTAAGTGGGGAGATGGGAGAGCATGCACCTAAACCTACATAGGTCGTAGGTGCATGCGTTTGCAAATACAGTGGTACCTTGGGTCACGAATGCTTCTGTTCGCAAACAATTTGGTTCGCGAACAGAATGTTCGGCAAAATTTTGTTTCTGTTCGCAAACTCCGCATCGGGTGACGAACACAACCGCAGCCATCTTCCCTGCTCTGACACATGGTCGTGGCTTCCTCTAGTTGAGATCGTGGTCTGAGTTTGATTTGGTACTGGATTTAAAATACCAACTGTGTAAACATGGCTACAACGTAGGATATTGCAATAATCAAAACATATAAGAAAATGATAATTATGTTCAACAGCCACAAAGCACCTTCAATCTCCACCATTCAACTGCCAGAAGATATGTGAATGTGACTATTGGCTTTGGGTTGGTACAGAATGTTTTCAGTCTTTACACTTTCAAACATAAGGCCAAAAGTTAGGAATATGCACCAATCCAACTTTAGCTACATTTTGTTTCTACAGCTTCAGAACAACCAAGAAAAGGAAGAACAGCTGGGAGAAATTGTGCGAGCATGTGAGAAAATGTGTGCAGAAAGGAGTGAGCTGCATGAAGAGCTTAGTGAAATGGTGAGTCTGATGACATGCAGACGTTTCTCGTGTACAAGAGAGGAAAGTTAGTGTAGTGTGCGCAAAGCTGGCCATGCACAGATGTTGACACACAATCATCTCTTGGGTTTAACAAATGCATTGTTTAAGACTGGCCCCAGGATTACAGAACTTGTCTATACATTTTATGAGTTTGAAATTTGAAATCAACATCTTACTATTTGTAAACAAATCTAGACTGATTCACTCTTGCCTATAGTCTACATGACTAATACTGGACCATATATATAGTAAAATAAGAAAAATATGTCCCACTCAAAGGGGTTAAGGCTTTTCCCCATAGTTCTCCTTAGGGTAACGGGAGGACACAAACTAGCGTCCCCCCGTCACCCTAAGCTCAGTATACCGCGAGCTACAGCTCGCGGTATACTGAGACGCCGCAGCTGAAGCGGATCCCGATAATTATGTCTGGATCTAGAGGCAGAGCCAGCTGTACCCGCCCCCTCCCCGTCTGTTCCGCCAGTCAGCGATGGAGGATCGGAGCGGGGTAATCCAGCCCCTCCCCTGTCACGGCAGAGAGCCGTGACAGGATCGAGAAGTGACCGAACGCCGGTATGTGTTCGCTCACTTCTCGATCTACTGAGCCGACCTGTGACAGTCTTATTGTCACAGGTCGGCTAGAACTATGAGGTGAGTGAAAAGCACTCACCTCATAGTTCTCCTTTAAGAAAGAGAGAAAGAGTAGTCTGAAAACTGCACTCTTGAGAAAGCAAAACTAGTCTTTATTGCTCCATCATATTAAAAACATTAAACATCTCCACACATATACCCTGCATGGGGATTCCCCTCAATAATCTATCATCAAAATGCGCTATACACGACAAGACAAATATAAGCTTTTCACTTCTAGTTCTAAAGTCACAGCATATACTATCCTGTTATAACATCAGCATTAAACTTTATTAGGAATGCATACTAGAGCTGTTTTTTGATAATGGAATCAAAGCTTGCCTGAAAAAAAATCCCTTTTATCTATTGAGTGCTTTCACCAACTTACTAGTTTCCCAGTGTACTTTGCATCTCTTTCCCTGCAGCTTGTTGTGATGAAGTCTCAATTTCTCAAGACTACAAAGCCCATAATGCATTGCTTACAGCAAGCAATGATGTTCAGATGTTGAGTTGTAGTTCAGATGACAGGCTCTGTCAATGTCAATTCATTGGGGAAATACATCCTATGGGCATCTTCAGTAAGTGAGTTTACAAACTTCTAGTTTGACACGGTTGTTAGAAGGGATATAGAACTTATGGAAATTCCATATAGAAATACATATTGATTTTTAGTTTGTTAGCAATTTAGGTCAATCTTCTCCACATGGCACTAATCACATATGGTAACTGCCTATATGTACCCTAATCACATATGGTAACTGCCTATATGTACCCTTAGTGGGAAGATGGCAAGCCTAGTAATTTGCTTATTTTTTATGTAAAATGTTTAGAACCTCTGTCAGGTTATACATGCTGCCTGTGTCCCTCCTGAGGAGACTCCTCCTCTCTTCTGGTTCTGTCTGTCATCCCTGACTTGAACAGGAAGTAAGAAGAAATCTCTGCAACAAGGACATAGGCTACAGTCAAAAACCTTCCTACGTGTGACCAAAACAACAAAAAAATATATATATTTGTGGCTAGGTTGTGCTTTGAGTAGGGATGTTCAGATACCAGTTCAGATACCAGTGCTGATACTAGGCATTTTCATGAGAACTACCAGGGTTGCAGCAGTTGTAGATGTGACTGGGCACTACTGTCCTGAAATCATTAGTCTGTATTGTTTTAGAAAAACTGTCACATGACACTAAACAAAAATGTATCAGTAATTGTATCTGTGAGTACTTGGACAAGTATCAGTACTCGGTCTGGGAAAAAATGGCATTGGTGCATCCCTAAAATATATATACTGTATATATAAAACAAATCATACGTTAAAACAGGCATGCACAAGTCCCAGGAGCCCCGAATGCTCCTTAAAAATGACAGCCGCCTCCTAACTTTTGAGTTTTTCTCTAGTTTAGTCTTGGAGCTGGAAAAGTATCTGTACTTGTACAAAGTATGGTACTTGGTATCTGAACATCCCTGGCTTTAAGGTAGACAGTAGAAGGCAGGAAAACGAAATAAAGCATGTTGCTGTTTGGGAGCTGGGAAGATGAACTGTAAGAGCGTAGCTGCAATTCTACATACAAAAGGTATATAAAATGATGCTGTGGTGGTATGATAAGTTGTACATTTTATGGTTGGCACATTGTGTGAATGAGAAGTGACACAGGCCTTGTTTAGTTTGTTGATTAAAGTGAACTCGGGGCACAAAAAGGGCGGATACAAGACCAGTCACCCTGCACAAGGAGAAAGGGCAGCAGTGACTGGACTTTATTACAGGAAGTTCCTGCACAAATACTGGTTAAATAACCAGATCTGGAATAAATACACAAACATCACCAAGATTCAAGTAAGAATACAGATGCCTTATGTATTTAGGCAATATTTGCTTATCCCAGAGTTCAGTGTTAAGTGTGGGGAATAGTAAAAAATTAGATTAGGGGAAAAGAAAGAAAAAGGGAAAGTTATTTTAGAGACAACAACAATTTCAAGCTGATCTCACTGCAAACACCCATCTCACCTGATGGGCTTCCTTACTCAGTCCTTAATTTTGCCAAAAGTGGACAAGCTATGGGCAATCGAGTACATACGTATTCTCAAGAATCAGCAAATGTGCTTTTAACCCTTTTGCATATGTCGGTGGCAGCGGGGCCCTGTAAGCAGCCGGGGGTCTATTTACATGTGTAAAGCCAAATGCTTTACACTGGAAGTGATTCTACGTGCACACACGATTTTGAAGCTTGACATTTATGGTGTCTATATACTCGACGCAACCTCCTCTTTTATATTTTAGTGTATTTTTTTACTGAAAATGTGGGTTTGATAAACAGTTGCACTAATATCATGCAACATAAAATTGCAACTGCCACCATTTTTTTCTACAGAGTCCCTGCTTTTAGAAAATATATAATTATGAGAAATGGGAAGGGGGGGTGGGGGGGATTGGGGGGATAAGACATTTTCAGGCCCAACATTGGCAGAGAAAGTGTTAAAGCTGTCTCACACTGACCTCTGTAGCTAAAGGCACTTCAAAGTAATTAATTCTCAGATTCAAAGCAAAAGTCATCTATGTCATTCTCTCAGCAGCTCACCTTCCCTTCTCCCCCTCACAATAGTGATTTAATAGCCTTCCAGCCTTCTAATCCATAATGTAAACATAGCATGTGCTGTGGGTAGGGGAAGCAGAGTGAGCTGAGCTAAGAAGAGATTTCAGTGCTTCAGCTGTACAATTAGAGGATAAATTGCTGCACAATGCTTTCTGTTACTGAGGTCACGAAGAGCTTGTTTTAAAGCTCATTTGATGCATGTTAAGAAAATATGAATACTTGAACGGCCATAGTTTAGCCACAGATACACTTTAAGGTTAACAGTAGGCAACTCCTGCTGCACATAGTGTGCATGGTAATCCAATCGTTACACAATTGTTTCTTGTTTAGGGATCTGGCTCCCCCACTTCAGGCCACACAGCACACACATATGATGACATTTACACCAATAAAAGATCTAATTTAATGATTAGAATGCCTGCATACCAAATATTGGTGTTTGTGATTAAATATATGGTTATGGTATTCACCACAAAAGGAAACATTTTAAATAGAAACTGGAGTGATATAATGTGACAGTATGTTCAAGACACAGTAGCTATTGTTACAGGTAGCTGTGCTAAATAAGTTAACTTGCGCCATTGACATGTCATACTATCACAGAACAAGGATAATGTGACACGTGATGAGGACTGAGGCAATAAAGGATACACTATAAAACACTGAGGCACGAAGTGTGTGGGGGTGAGTTAAGATCGAATGAGCAGTGTGATAGTTGAAAGTAGGTGGCAATATCGTGCCTTAAGAACAAGAAATGCAAAGAGTGGGAGAGGGATACAAAAAGGTGAAAAGCTCCTTACTAGACCACAAAGCACATAATGCCTCGCTGCAGTGGAAAACAAAGCCGTGAACAATGAATGAGGGGAATATAGGAAGCTGACAGTGATGTAGTGCATCACAATTGCACTCAAACAGGTAACATTTTAAACTTTTTTGTTAAACCCATAATGTCAAAATCTAATATATAGCAGCATACTGCCGGACTTATCATGTTTGCTTTTTGGTTTCTGTCTGCAGCCTATCACTTGTCAGCCTTCTTCCTTTTGAGGTTTCCCCTGTCTCCATTTCCATCTTGAGGATGGCTCCACAGCTTTACAGGGTCTCGTGGAGCCACCCTTGTGTGTGTGCTTCAAGGTGTGATGGGCACGCTTCAGGGAAGCGCCTTGTTGTTATGGCCCTGGGGATGGTCATATGGCCATTGTATGATTCTACTGGGGTGTGTGCGTTAATCCACGACAGGGTCCGCATGCACATTTTCTTCAAACAGGATATGATAGTCTGACTTGGGCGTGCCCCATGCATCTGCTGTGGAATCAGTAGGATGAGGGACCTGACGTTGCAGTCAAGCAACCTATAAGGTGCATTCTCCCTACGCTCACTATCCTCACTGACCAGAACATCAAGGTAATGGCTTTGATGTATAAGCAGCTACTGAGAGAAAAAGTAAGGGAATGGGGATATATTCTCCAAAAATGTGTTATACTGAAGGTTGCCTTGATATAAGCAAATACATTAACATAAAAAAAGAGGAGGGTTTAATGCTACTTTAAGATGTGTGCATAAAACAGATAGCAAGTTTAAAGGACTAATAAGCCTAAGTGCTTGTTAACACCATTGCCTTGCAGGATCACATATGCATTTAACATGTGTTGCGTTAAGCAGCCCATTCATCTTTAACTATACCAAAGCTCTGTAATTCACTTACTGAACATGCAACATTTTTTTAATGCAACAGATCACAATGCTTAGATTATTTACATCTGT